CCCCCCCACTCTCTCTGAAAAAGCAATGGAAAAAATATCCTTGGATGTGAATTTAAAAAAAAAAAAAAAAAGAAAGAAAAAGAGTTCAGCCAGCATGGCTAAGCAGTTGAGCATTGACCTATGATCCAGGTGATTGTGGTTCAATTCCCTGTCAAGGCACATGCTCGGGTTTTGGGCTCGATCCCCAGTGGGGGGCATGCAGGAGGCAGCTGATCAGTGACTCTCTCATCATTGATGTTTCTCTCTCTCTCCTCCCCCCCCAATTCCTCTCTCTGAAATCAATAAAGACTTTTTTTTTTTTTTTTTAAAGAAAGAAAAAACCAACAGGAAGAATGTGCTGAGTACCAAATGATTGCTACAAATTGTGGTTTGGGTTTTCCTTGGAGAGAAAAAAATGTTGAGGACTGAAGTGGTTAGGGAAAACTTGATATCAAAAATGAATTTTAAGCTTAGCTTTGGGGAATGGTTAAAACTTAAATAGTCAAAGAGGGAGAAGGACTGATGCATGTAGAGGGGAGGCAGTTAGAAAATAAAAGAGCACAAGATAATTTGGAAAGGAATATAGCTAAAGAGAAGGGTTTAATAGGTGAATACTATGAAAGAGAAGACTCAAAAAGCAGGTTGGAGGATCCTAATTGCTAGCATGAGGATGTTGAGATTTTATCTTACAGTAATGTATAAAAGATAACCAGTACTTATCACATGCCTGGCACTATTCTAAGTGCCATACGTGTGTAATGTCATTTAATTCGTACAGTAAATGAGACCCAGAGATGCTAAGCAACTTGCCAAGGTCACACTGTTAGAAAATGATAGAAGAGCCAAGGTTTGAACACAAGCTATTTAAATCCAGAACCCCTGCTCTTAATTACAACACTGTTCTGGTCCTAGAGTCCATGGTAAATTGAACCAGTTTCATGCCCAGGATCCCTGACCTTAAACAAGTAATATGCATAATACTTATAGTAGTTTTTAACATTTAAGAAAGGTAATGTGACCACACAGTGACATTTCATTTCTATTCCTGCCACCCATGAACCTCTTCAGCACAGGACAGTCAAGGAGAAGTTAAAGTATTTGTGCTAATTGCTTTCCACTCTGCCCACTTTCCTATGCTTATCCAGTCAGTTGCTCCCAGTTTACCACAACCCCCTAACAGCCAAGTCCCATCAGCCCATTGTTAACTGTAGTTCAGTGGTTCTCAGAGTGTGGCTCCTGAACTTGCAGCAGCAGCATCAACTGGGAACTTGTTAAAAATTGCAGTTCTGGAGCCTCACTCCAGATCTACTGAATCAGAAACGGGATGAGCTGCAACAATCTGGGTTTTACCAATCCCTTTAGGTGATTATGGTGCATGCTGAAGTTTGACCACCTCTGCTGTAGTATACTCTAGAGATTCAGTTCAGGAGCAAACTGCTAAATCTTTTTTATACCTGGTATTAGCATTAAGGAACAGTTTGGGATCTTACTCTTGAGTCTAGGCTAATGGGTCTTACACTCTGACTTTATGGCAATAGCTATGGCTTACTATGCTATGTGCATCTTTAAAGGGCCTTTCTCAGACTCTTTGATTTTTTAGTAATTATACTTTGTAAGCATACCTAACCTTTGGTTTATGACTTTAGTTCATTCCTGAAAACCTGACCTCTAAGTGAAAAGTTACCAATATCAGAAAATATTTTTATTTATTTTAATGGAAAAAAGTATGTGTTTCATGATTATCTGCAGTACCAAAATAATTTTTAGATTAAAAATATATCAACTGAACAAAGAAAACAAGTTTGTAGAAATGAATACTTCGAAAGTAAATAAAAATGTTTTTACCTAAAATGTAATGATGGTCTGTTGTACTTACAAACAAAAGAAGACTTGATAGTGAGTGGTGGCTGGTGAAGGAGGAATACAAAGAAGTCATTCTTTGGAAAGTGCTGGAGGGTCAGGTGGTAAACTTCAAGGCAGGTAACTTTGGGAGTTTGTGGTTTCCTTGCACTTAAAAATAGTTATAGCACACCTGGACCAGCCACTGGGATGCCAATGAAACAGAGCCTCTGTTCTCAAGGGGTCTTGAGAAGGAGTGAGATGCCCCCAACAGCTCATTCTATAAAAAGGCAAAAACTAAGTGCTGTTGCAGGCACAGACAGAAAGAAAACAAAGGAGGGAGTGGCTGAGGAGGTTTGTAGACCCCTCAGACCTGAAACTAAGCCTTAGAAAAAGAATGGGGTTCTAACCAGCAGACACGGTGCCAGGGCATGCCATGCTGAAGGAACAGCAGGGGAAACAACTCAGGACATATGGATAGGGCACTGGGAGTCAGTTTGAAGCACCTGGAAAAGGAAGGGCTGGGGATTATGACAGACCGCAGTAGGAAAGAAGACGCTGTGCTCATTACAGTTCAATTCTGTGAGCAACAATGAGCTATAGAAAGCTTTTCAAGAGAGCAAGGCATGTTTTAAGGAGAGTAAAATCAATGAAAAAAAATAGTCATAGCGCAGAAAAATACTGTTAGGGCAAAATACAGAAGCCTTTAAAACAAGCAGTGTGCATACTCAACAGATGGAGCAATTGTAAAAAATACTACCTCTTCAATCCTCTTGCTTGGTGTACATATACGAAGCCAGCTTTTCTGATTCATCCAAATGTGGTACATGATTTATTAATTTGTTCTTTATAATATTCTCTGAATAGAAATGGTTGTACTGAATAAAGCAGTGAATGTCTATTAAATATTTTGAGTATGTCTGTGGTTTTTTTTTAAAAAGTTGTAATACCAAAAATGGGGGGAGTGTCATTGTCCAAGAAGTGGTATTACTTTTCAAGAGACATTATAGCAAAAAGCTACCTAACAGTCATCACATGACTCAAGTCTGTAATGAGAAGTTACATGTTTAAGAAAACTTTGCTTTAAAACTAAATTGATTAAAAACTGCTTTAAAACTAGAATTCTTGCCTTTGGTTGCTAGTCAATTTGCTGTAAGCCCACAGATGAGGCAGTTTTTAACTATAAATTTTGTAGGCACCTCTAATCTCTTTCCTGTAGCTGCCTTATGTCCCAGAGTTTCACAGTCCATTTGTTTATAGCCGTGGCTATTCCAGTTTATACTCATGCTTTGCTTCTTTTCTTTCTTGAGTCTGAAGGCAGAGGAAGAAAGGAGCCATATTCCCTCTAGATTGTTGTTTTGGTTTAGAAAGAAGGGTATGTAGAACTCCAGATTCACATATATAGTATTTTATAATATTATATTTCTTAAATATGAATGTAGATGATTTCCCTCTTGAGTAAAATTATGTAGGAGCAAAGGTTATCAGAACCCACCCCCAGGAATATAACATAAGAAGTTGTATGAGAATGGGGGGGGGGGGCGGTTTTTGGATGTGAAAGATGGGAGAAAATTTTTCCTTTTTTATATATTTTTAATAATGGGCACATTATACTTTACCCTACCCCAAAACCGCATTCATTTTTTAAAATGATTTAACAATGATATTAAAACATTAAATGAAAGACGCTTCTAGTCATCAGGTATGGTAGGGATAGAGTTGATATTATTACAATTTTTTAGCTTGTCAGGTTAATTTCCTTCCTACCTCCATTTACAGAACGTTTCAAATTGGCTTCATTTCCATAGCTGTATGACTAAGATCTGCTGAGAAGGTGCACATAGCCTGGGATTCCTGCCAAAATCATAATTCTGGACCCACAGAGAGCCTTTTTTTAAGAGTTAAAGTCTAATAATAGGTTAATAGAAACTTTGTAAAATCTTATATTGGTCATAGTTGTTGTTGCTGTTGTTTTTATAAAATGTAACAGGTACAGAAATGGTTAGTAGTGGAATGGTTATGCCTGCTTGCTCCACATATATAAGGCATAAGCGAGAGACCCAGACCTGCGGTTTATGGAGGATATTTTGAATTTTGGGAGAATAATCAGTGGTTCTTAAATTTGGCAATGATAGAAATAACTGTTTTTCAAAAAATTCAAGAGAGAGTACATTCTGGGTTCATCTTAAAAGAACTGTTTCTGATATAGTAGTAGCAGATTTGGAACCAGGCCTACTGCATATGTGTGTAATCTGTGCTCTGCACCGAGAACAGAGAACTAAGACCTTTCCTACACTCTGAGCTTCCTGAGCCATGTGTGCTGGCACAGGGCTGCTAGAGGAAGGGGCTTTTTTAAAAATTTGTCCACCAACTAGGAACTCTCTTTTGCAGTTATTTGGCATGGAGAGGGGCAACTTTTTGTGACTGGTTCAAAGGCATCACATATGCTAGCTAAGACCTCTTTGGACCCCAACTTAGAATAATTTTTAGCAGTTTTGTCTGCAGAAGATCACCTTTGGGGTGTCACTCAATGATTAAATGTTATTACATGTTAGCTAAAGAGAGTTCTAAGGTTCATAAAACATGGAACTACTGACAGAACTATAAATTCAGAAGAAATATCACCACTAAAATTTGGCAGAAATGCATACTTTTTAAAGTCTTTTTATGAGAACTGGTGAGCAGTTGTGCACCAAATCTCGAGACATTAATCTTTACTTCTGGAAACAGAACAGCTATGATTCAGACTGATTGCCTTCCATCCTGATATTATGTGCAGTCTGAAGTTAAAAATTCATTGAGAACAAAGCTACTTGGGAAATTTGAGACTAGTTCATTTAAAAGAGGATAAGTGATTTTATAGCAAGAATAATGACTGGAAATGAGGAAACCCATACTCTAGCTCTTACTACCCCACTAATTCACTCTGGCCCAGTACAAGCAACTTAACCTCTCTAGTCCTTAATTTCCGTATCTGTAAAGTGAAAGAAGTGTACCAAAATAAGGTCTCTCTCAGTTCTAACATTTTGTGATTTAAAAATAATAATCTTTTTAGCCAGATCTTGAACTGCTATTAAATATATTAGTAGAAAAGCATTCTATTTTAAGCCAAATAATGATTTTTGCATTCTCAATCTTGTTTTTCAGAAACTCTGTGAAGGCATATTTAAAGTTCTTATAAAGGACATCCCAACAACATGTCAAGTGTCCTGCCTGGAAGTTCTCCGCATTCTCTCCAGAGACAAAAAGGTTTTAGTTCCTGTAACAACCAAGGAAAACATGCAGATACTGCTGCGACTAGCGAAGCTGAATGAGTCAGATGATTCTTTGGAGAAGGTGTCAGAGTTCCCAGTTATTGTGGAGTCATTAAAATGTCTGTGTAACATAGTGTTCAACAGTCAGATGGCACAGCAGCTCAGCCTGGAACTTAACCTTGCTGCAAAGCTCTGTAACCTCCTGAGAAAGTGCAAGGACCGAAAGTTTATCAATGACATTAAGTGCTTTGACTTGCGCTTGCTCTTTGTCCTGTCACTTTTGCACACCGACATCAGGTCACAATTGCGCTACGAGCTCCAGGGACTACCGCTGCTAACCCAGATCTTGGAAAGTGCCTTTAGCATCAAGTGGACCGATGAGTATGAGTCGGCCATAGACCATAATGGACCTCCTCTCTCACCTCAGGAGACAGACTGTGCCATTGAGGCCCTCAAAGCTCTCTTCAATGTGACAGTAGACAGTTGGAAGGTGCATAAAGAGGTAAGGTTAAGAAGGGTATTGTTTACTGTGGAATTTAATTGGCTTGGGGCATCCGTAGAGCTGCCTGCAAGGGAGGAATGCTAAGTCTGGAAATGGAAAAATTTCAAGTTCCCCCATTACAGTTGTATGACTCAGGATTAATTTCTTAACCATTTTAAGTCTTACTCTTTCCATTTGTGTAACACTTATCAGAAGAATAGGATAAAGATGGACTACTGTTTGTAAGATGCCAGATATAGTTCCTTTTCTGAGTTGTACTATCACGTGTCTTTTTTTTTTCTTTTTAAGAGTAGAGTGCCTCTTTCAGGAACAAGGTTTAAATTATAAGATTTAAGGGAAACAAAACAGTGTGATTCATGAAGGTTTAGGCATTTTCAGTGGCTGTCTTAAAAGTTAAGACAAATCAAACCAGTTGAAATTGATCAATCAGAATTAACGTCTGCTCAGAAGATAAAAGATGCTGTATCGAGTATCATCCTAGTCTCCTAGAGTGTCACTTTACAGTGTTAGATAACAGAAGTGTAGGACTAAAACTAGATACCCATGCTTGTACAATCCTAGAAAACAAGCATAATTACATGAGAGTATGGGAACGGTTATTTTAAACCACTTGACTTATTTCTAGACTAAGATCCTTTTCTGTGGCTTGGACTGTCCAGCAACCCCAAGTGAGGCAGATTTGATAGTTTATATCTGAGTACCCACAAGAACAATATGCTAAACAAGAAACTTAGTTTAAGGAAGTCAACAATTTTAAGTGAAGTGGATGTAAACTTTTACTCCTTGTTTCTAGAATCTTAACATTTCACATTTACCTTCTCTACTTAACCTTAAATAACTGGTGAAATTAAGCCTCTGCCTTTAAAAAAAAAGAAAAAAGAAAGAATAGCATTTTGGTGTCAATGATCTTTTCTGACAGTTGACTTTAGGACTTAACATTTTGCTGTGTCCATTTGAAGCAGTTCTCACCATGAATAGAGATCTCTTTTTTAGAGAGCAACTTACTTTGAAAGGATTATCTCAGTGCAGTGCTATAGTGGGAGTATGCAGGCATCTGAGTTTTAAAGTGCAAATAGGTCTATATTTTGAAACCAAATATTTGAAGATCAGTCCTAACAGCTATTTTAGATGACCGTAGTATGGTCAGTTTTTCCTGGGACTTGGCAGAAAAAGATGTGGAAAGCCCACATGCTCCATTTATGCTTTGAAACCAAATATTTGGAAGTATTTAAAATGTTATGTCTCTGTGCTTATTTGGTACCTTCTATGGTTATTTTTCTTACACTGTTTGTTTTGGTGTTTTTAAGTTTTCCATTTAGTTGCAAGAGCTCTTCTGAGACTGTTGGTTTGCCATTGTTGGAGTCCCTGTTATTTAAATTGTGTCTAAAATAGTAGCTTACACTGTTCAGATTCTTGACAAAAAGGTTTATAATTCAATGGCTATACATCAATATATGTATGGACAACATGTAATATATATCAGTAAGTTGAAATTAGCCCTCATGAGTGGGGCTGGAAGAAGCTTTAGAAAATGTTGAAGGGGCAGATACTCATTCTGTGTTATAGAATGTTTATTCTCCAGAGGTATCTGAGAGAGGATCAGTAGCCCTACAGCAGGCCATCTCAGCAGACCTAGTGCCTCCTGTGAGTTGTGGATCAGATGATACAGCCATTATAAAATGTACCCGGTTAATGTGACTCTGGGCTATTATATAGTTATCAGAAATTTAAACAATATTGAAAATAGTATCTTGCCAACCCATTTAGGCAAGAGTGTGGGAAAGTTTATTTTAAACCACTTGAATCTCCAGATTCAAATTTTAACACAGTCAATCATTCAGTCCATCAACAAATATTTATGGACAATTGCTAGGTTTTATGCTGGGTGTTATGTAATGCATTGGTAATCACAGATGTACTCTCTGCCTTCATGAAACTCCAGTTTTGGTGAAACAAGTAATAAATAAATAAACAAATTATAATTTAAATTGTGTAGGAGAGAAACAATGCAATGATTGAGAGTACTTAGTACAGTCACTTGAAAATCTCTCCTGAGATCTGAAGACAGAATGATTCAGCTAAATGGGGGATGAACATTTCCCAGAAATTGAACAGCATGTGAAAAGACACAAAAATCAGCATAGAATGTTGTTTAGTGAGGCACCCACAACATAAGGAAAATCTATAAAGTAAAATAAAAAGAAAGAAAATCTATAATAAGGATGCAGAGAAACTTGCCAGTAAGAGTCCATTTACCTGAGTTTTAATATCTCCTTGATTGTCAAATGAAACTCATCTTTCTCCAGTTGAGCAAGTATCTAAAGAATTGTTAATACTTTAAAATGCCAATTGAAGTAAAGGGATATAGAAATCTTATTGTACGGAAGAAATCCAACTTTAAAATATAACTTTAAAAATAATATTATTTTTCTTTTTACAAAAATAATACATGCTAATTATAGAAGATCCATGGGGAAAAGGGCATACAAGCAATAAGCAAATACACATTACCTACCACTCAAAGATAAGCACTAGTTGCATTTTGATGTATATGTTTTTAACCATTCTCCATTGTATAATATATAAATATTAACATATGTATACATTTTTTTACAGAAAGAGTGATTTTATAATCTTGATCTTTTTTTCACAGCAAATGTTCTCATAGAGTAATGCTTTTCAAAATGTGTTCCTTGAAGCCATAAAGTTCCTAGGAGTAGCCCCTGGGGATGAGTGAGCAGTGCTCCAGGTTCCTGAGCTTTACTTTAAAAAGAGCACATTTGAGCTCTGGCCTATATGGCTCAGTGGTTGAGCCTCATCCCATGCACCAGAAGGTCACCAGTTCGATTCCCAGTCAGGGCACGTGCCTGGGTTTTGGGCTTGGTCCCCAGTTGGGGCCATGCAGGAGGCATCCAGTCAGTGTTTCTCTCTGTCTCTCCCTCTTCCTTCCTCTCTCTCTAAAATCAATAAAAACTTTTTTTTTTTTTAATAGAGCACATTTGATTGTTGCTATTGCTCTTGCTGTTACGTGGAACTAGATTTCCTTTCTTGGATAAAAAGTTGTGCAACCAAAAAGAATTTGTATAACTGCTTTCTTCTCCTATTTGTTACAGGTTGATAAGTCCTCATGAAGATCTTATTAAGCCCCTTATTCTCCTTTAGCAAATACCCTACGTGTAGGCATTTAAACTATTTGCAATTGTTTGCTATTTCAAATAGTAATATAGTGAATTTCTTACTGTAAAAACTTTGTAGATAAATTCCTAGAATTGTTGGGTCAAAGGGTTTTTCAAAACTTTAAGGTTTATTAATATGCATTGCCAAATTGACTTTCAGAAGAATAGTGCAAGTTTATATCATTCCAAACCCCGGGCATTTCATTTTTTAAAACAATTACCTATTTTACAGTTCAACCATTACAGAAAATACAGATGTTTGGTTTTGGTTTTAACCGTTTTAGTAGTTATTTTTATGACTGTTCATTTACAATTCACCATAAACAGAAAATTAATGACTAGGTTTTTCTTGAGGCTTAGCAAATTAGTGCCATTTGTTCATTTTTAGGTTCATGCTTCAGTGTTAAATTCCTTCTACAGATTAATTTGGGGATTTCTTTCCATTCAGTAGGAAATGTAGCTGGCCTCATTTCCACATGTGGTGTCAGTCTTATTTTTCTCCCTCCCTCCCTTTTTCTCTCCCTTCCTAAAAGTAATGTGTTTAAGAAGGTCAGACGATTTCCATAGCAGGACCTGAAGTCAGCTCTAGAAAAGTGAATTTAAAAGGTCTTGTCTTTCTTCTCCTTTAACCCTTTGTTACACTTCTCTGTTGATGGAGGAAAGCATGTTATTGTAGAGATCACTTACTTAGCACACATTCCCTTCTATAGTACTTCCCAGGTGTCAGTGCAATACAATGAGACAATACAAGGACCAACAGCCACAGTAGAGCCAGATAACCAAGTGCAAACAGAGAAGTAGTTCGAGTACTGAGTAGTCAAAGGATGCTTTTTGAGTGAAACAAAGCAGTGAGTATCCGTAGAAGGTAATTGGGACTGTCACACATTGTAACAGAAGAGTTTAGTTCCATGATTATTTTAGAGGATTTGAAGGAAATATAAGAAAAAGGACATGATGTTAATTAAGTAAAAATAAACCTTCAAGCTGTGCCATGTTTTTTGCTGAATCATTTTTTCAACAAACATTTATTGCCCAGTATGTGCCGGGTTCTGTGTTAGACACACAAGATGCAAGATAAAGCGTCAGTGCCCTCACAAAATTAGCAGTCTAATAGGAAAATCAGACATATAACATAGGTGGATATACAACTATTTGTTACATTATTTACTATTCTCTATATTTTCTATAGGTTTGAAAATAAAAAAGAATCACCTCAGCAATGCACAGTTGCTTCAAATGCCATATGTTCTAGATCTTTGGGAGTATGTCTAACCTCACTGGCATAGCCTTTGCACTAGGCATCATACCTAGCACAAAGTAGTGTTGAGTAAATGGTTTCTTAATGAAAAATAAAATGTGATATAGTTTGATATCTGTATATGAGAAATCGCCTGATGTTGACAGGAAGGGAGGAAAGTTTATTAAACCTTTTAAATGTTTAAAGCTAGTAAAAGAATTTCTAGAAGCCTAAAAAATTTAATGACATTGTTTATACGAGCAGATTTCTAGTCTTTTTGGAATTACTGCTCTTTATTTTATAACATTTATATTTCCTTTTGTAAGTTAATTCAAAAAAGCATTTATTACTTTATGCCCAGTACCATGATAAATACAAAAGAGGTAAAGTAAGTAATTTTTGCCTGTAAGGAGACAGAGATCTTTGAACATACACAATTTAGTAGACAAATAATTATGATAGAAGTAAGCAGTAGGGCCAGGGTAAAACATAGGATGAAAAGCTACCCGAAATATTTCCAGATAAGAATGTTTACATGCATTTGCACCCACATGTCTGTGTCTGTATGTGTGTTTCACTTTCATTTTTATTTTTTTGTTAATCCTTATTTGAGGATATTTTTTCCATTGATTTTTAGAGAGAGTGGAAGGGAGGGAGAAGGGGGAGAGTCAGACAGACAGACAGACATTGATGTGAGAGAAACACATTGATCAATTGCCTCCCACATGCGCCTGGACCAGAGCCTCAGATCAAACCTGCAACCCACATACATGCCCTTGACCTCGAGCCTTTGGTCTTCGGGCCGACCCTCTAACCGCTGAGCCAAACTGGCCTGGGCTGTTTCACTCTTTATAGACTTGAAATTGAATTTCTATAGGACAAGTTTCCTAAATCTTATCAAAGTAATTAGAACTACCCTGAGATAACAAAACCAGATTAGGACTCATTGGTATGAACTAGTCTCCCTTCAGACTTTCTCTTAGGCATTGATTAGGTCAGTTAAAGCTTTGAATGAAAAGGTGTTAGGAAATTGATACCTTTACCAAACAAAAGTGAAATCTATAGTTTGCACTGGAGGAAAAAAAAAGCAAAAGTACAGTAGAATCTGTAATTAAGAAATAAAGGCTATATAAAGAGATCCCAAAGAATTTCCTGAGTTTTGTCATCTCATTTTCATATTCACTATCACAACAAACCTGCTTACTTTCTCCTCCCTTTCTCCTTAGAGACTTCTTTTCCTTCACAGCCTTTGGAGATAGTATGATTTCAGAGGAGAGAATATTGATGCCCTAAAGATATCAAAACTAAGATCATGAAGCAAGTAAATGACAGTTGTATAAACTGGGTTGTACAGCGTTTTATAAGGAGTAATTCTTTTTAATCGTTCTGTCATCCTTATGAGATAGCCTTAACCCCATTTGAGAAATGAGGACACTAAAGATCAGAGAGTTTAAATTATTTATGGAAAATCACACAGCAAGATAGCCAACAGTAGGAAATAGTGTCCACTCTAACCTTTGTTAAATAATACTTCTTAAATAATAGCACTAACTCAACAAATATTTGTTGAGACCTAGACTAATGGAATAGAATAAAGAATCTAGAAATAAGCCTACACATATACAGTCAACTGGTTTATGATATAGGTAACATTGAAGTACAGTGGGGGAAAGGTGGGCTTTTTTAAAAATTGCAGTGGATCAATTGTGTGGCTATATGGAAAAAAACAAATTTGAGTTTCTACCTTGTACCATACACAAAAAAACTAATTTGAGATGGATAAGAGACCTGAATATAAAAGGGAAAATAATAAAGCTCCAAGAAGAAAACAGAAAATTATCTTCATGACTGTATCTTAAATAAGTCAAGTATTTCTTAAATAGGCAAAGATTTCTAGATCAGGACAAAATAAAGATCAAACCGTAGAGGAAAATTTGACAAATTGGTCTTCATTAATATGAGTTTATCAAGAGAAGAAAGTAAAAAAGCAGGCCACCAAGTGGGAGAAGATATTTGCAACACATATATGCAATAAAGGACTTTATCCAGAATACATTAAAAAGTCCTACAAATCGATACAAATAGTCAGTCAACCCAACAGAAAAATAGGCAGCCCAGCCGGGCGTGGCTCAGCGGTTGAGTGTCCACCTAGGATCCAGGCAATCAGGGTTCGATTCCCGGTCAGGGCACATGCCCGGGTTGCAGGCTGAAGCCGATCAATGACTCTCTCATCATTAATGTTTCTCTCTCTCTCTCTCCCTCTCCCTTCCTCTCTGAAATCAATAAAGATATATTTAAAAAAAAAAAATAGGCAAAAGGGTTGAACTGGCCCTTTACTACAGAGCTATCTAGATGGCCAATAGACATATGAAAAGGTGTTCAACTTTATTAGTCATCAGGAAAATGCATAACAAAACCATGAGACTACTGCACACAAGAATGACTAAAATTTAACAGGTTGACAATACCAAGTATTGGCATAGCCGTTAAAAACTGGTGGGAGTATAAATTGGTTTAAATACTTTGAAATACTGTTTGGCAGTCAGTACCTTCTAAAGCTTCACATACGTATATGCCCTGTGACCCAGCATATCAAATGATACGTAAAGAAATATGTGCATAGCAGCACTCTTCAATATAACCCAAAACTGGAAATAATCCAAGTGTTCATCAAGAGTAGGATGGGCCCTGGCTGGTGTAGCTCACTAGTTAGAGTGCTGGCCTAAGAACCTAAGGGTCTCTGGTTTGATTCCCAGTCAAAGGCGCTATACCTGGGTTGCAGGTTCAGTCCCTGGTTCCTGTCGGGTCACATGCGAGAGGCAACCAATCGATGTCTCTCTCTCATATAGATGTTTCTGTCTCTCTCAACTCCTCTTCCTCCCTTCCACTCTCTCTAAAAATCAATGGAAAAAATATCCTTGGGTGAGGATTACAACAGCAAAAAAAGAGTAGGATGGAGAGGTAAATTGTAATGTATTCATTGTATACAGCAGTGCTTTCTTAACCTAACTGGTAAAGAACCAGATTTCCCCACTAGCTGTCAGAATGAAACTCTTGTATAATATATTACACACAATGTCAAACTGCTCGACAGTTTCTAAATGCTCACATGGGGCACCTTCTGTGCTCATGGCATTGCAGATCAGTGGCAAATGGTGTGGGCAAGCAGTGGTTCACAAACTGCACTGCGAATAGCACTGCTCTCAAGCAGTGAAACTGAACAAACTGTACCTACACACAACAGCATGAATTTCACAATCAGATAAAAAGGAGTCTATATTTTATGATTCCATTCATATAAAGTTCAGTGACAACAGAAACTACTGACCTGTGATACTAGAGGTTAGAATTACCCATGAGTAGTGGGGGAATATCCTTAGAAGCGGCCAAGAGGGAATTCTGAGGTTATTAATCTTGGCATTGCATCATTTTTGTGCTTATTATATATGGATGTGCTCATTTTGTGAGAGTTGATCTAGCTGTACACTTACAATTTGGACATTTTGTTTGTTTCACCATTTACATTAAAAATGATTGAGCCCTGGCTGAGTAGCTCCATTGGTTAGAACATCAACCCCATACACCAAAGTTGTGGGTTTTTATCTCTAGTCAGCGCACCTACAAAAATCAGCCAATGAATGCATAAATAAGTGGAACACTGAATCGATGTTTCTCTCCCTGTCTCTTCTCATCCCTCTCTCTCTAAAAATCAATAAATTTTTAAAAATAATTGAACACCTATTATATACATGCCCTCTAAACTTGTGAAGGTAATAGATTACTGGAGAAGACCATGTATGTGCAAGTATATAAACAAATCATGATTTCATGACAGAAATCCTAACAAGATGTAGTGGTAGAGAATAATAATGAAGGAAAGGATCTCCTTAGATAAGGTGGTCAAAGAAGAGGCTTGCTTCTCTGAGAAGATATTTTAGCTTAGACCCAGAGGGTGAAAAGGAATCTTATGCCATGGAGGCAACAGTCAGGGGTTTCAGTAGTTGTTTTGAGAAGAGAAATAGGGTTTAGTGGATTTATGATAAAAAAAAAAAAAAAGACATTGCAAATACAGGGTACAGCTTGGGAATTGGTGTTATGAAAATTGGGACAGGAGGAAATGGGATAGAAGGAAGTAGGATTTGGGGTTCACCATTGCAAATAATGGAAAGACCAAAGTGGATAATTTTTCAAGAGGCCTGTCAACATCAGAATGAGAAGAGGAGAATTATGATATCTAAAATAAAGGAAAATCTAGCTTAAAAGGAAGTACATTCCCAGTTAATTTTCAAAACCAAAGAAAATATGATTGAGAGTTAAGTAATGGATGAGTTTTGCATGCATTTCAGTGCGCTTTGTGTAGTTTGGGGTAAATAAGTATATTTACATATTAGAGAATTTTCATTCAAGCATTTGAAGGTGGATGGTGAAAGGGACAGCATTCATTCCAACCCTGCCCGCCTTCTGTCTCTGGCATCCCACTGGCCCCTCTTCTCCTTTACCCTTCCCCCAACACACAGTTATTTCATTATCACGTGTTTCAGCTCCATCAGTCTCACTCTTTGTTTCCTTTCTCCCTCATTCTTGCACCTCACCTTCAAATGTTTCATAGAAAGTACTGAGCACTTTCATGTATAGCATCTTCTTTCATTTAAACCCTAACAACCTCCTGTTTGTGGAGATGCACATAGGGAAACTTTGGCTCAGAGAATCTATGCAATTTGTCTTAAGGTCACAACCTGCAAGTGCAGTGCTCCAAGTGCAGTGCTTTTTCTATTATGCCACTGAGGCCTTCATCTCTTTCAAACCTACCCATGATGGTGTTATGTTTAAAATATTGTCATCTGCATTATGAGTAATGAAAGTATGCCCTATTGTTTGTTAGATTATGTAAGATTTGGAGGAACTAGGAAATTAACAAGATTCATTAAAATGAAGTTGACAAATTATAGGTTTTAATCCATTACTTTGAAAGTTAAGAGATGAGACATTTTTAGTAAGGATGTACAGCCCATTCCTAAAATATCTGATAGCATTACAATCTATATGAACTTTTTCAGTGACTACTAAACCAGAACACTATACTATCAAACGAAAGAATCTAGACTTTCTAGAAATGGAAAAGATCCCTAGTTGAATTTATCTTAAGGTAAAACAGAGCAGGTAATACATGGATGCTGATTATGTCTGTGTTTGCCTGACACGTCCTAAGGGAGCGGCTAAATCAGCAACTTCTGGTTTCAGCCATTTCTGGAAGTGGCTGTAGCTGTAGATGTGAGGCAGTGACTATGACCTCTCCATGTATGGGATAAGAAGGACTGTTTTGAAGGGCAGTGGGCCATAAGATGACTCCCAGGGATGTAGTGATGTAGCAGACTCCTTCATTAAGGCATTCAATCTATTTTTCCTCCGCTCTTTTTTATTTGCCATAGAGTGATTCTCATCAGTTCCGTGTCATGGCAGCTGTCCTTCGCCATTGTTTACTAATCGCAGGTCCAACTGAAGACAAAACAGAAGAGCTGCACAGGTAGGTAACCTCTCAGTTCTTACTATTTTTATGCATCTAATTTTAATTGTTATAAGCACAAGAAAGTGAAAATATCTTAGTAAGTCAGGTAACTGGTAGGTTAGAAATCATTATTATGCTCTGATGAGAAATTTTCATTCTGTCCCCTTTGACTTATAAATTAAGCCCCAACAAGAGAAGAGAATTTGGAATTTGTTGCATTCAACAAGAAAACCCAGAACAACTATAATAATAGTACACAGTTATTGAATAGTGTGTGTGGCATTATGTTAAGTTCTTAATAAAGATTAACTCCTTTTAATCATCACACCAGCCTTATGAGGTAGGTACTACTATTTTCCCCTTTCAATAGATGGTGAAACTGAGACATAAAAAGATCAAGCAATTTCCCCAAGATCATATATAGCCCTAATAAGTGAAAGAGCTTGGATTTGAATCCTGCTTTTAATTACTACACTTAACTAATATGGTCACTAATTTCATTGTAGTTACCAAAAAATATATCTTTAGCAGTGTTAATTAAATTTTATAAACTTACAAGAATTGGATCGCAGTCTCAAGTATTAATATATAAATAACAGTTAATATAATATAAAGAATGTTTTATGACTTGCCTGTTAGAATATTAATGGATTACTGTTAAAATTTATCATTCTCTGAGAACAACGGAGTAAGTATTAGTGCATTTTTCTAGTTTTCTTACTTTCCATTTGAGATCAGATTTGCAGTAACAAGACTTCTCACATTAACATAAAACTTCTCATGGTACTTTATAATAATACAAGTGGCTTTTTTTATAATTTTTTTAATATATCTTTATTGATTTCAGAGAGAGGAAAGGAGAGGGAGAGAGAGAGAGAAACATCAGTGATGAGAGAGTCATTGGTCGGCTGCCTCCTGCATGCCGCCAACTGGGGATCAAGCCTGCAGCCCGGGCATGTGCCCTGACCGGGAATTGAACCCTGATCGCCTGAATCCTAGGTCGACACTCAACCACTGAGCCTTGCCTGGCCAGGCTACAAGTGGCAGTTTAAACAATTCAAAAAAATTAAATCTGCGAAAATGTAACGGCATTACCTCTGCTTTACAAATAAATTTAAAAGTTGTGTTCTTAATAGTAGAAATGGCCTTTTGAACACTTATAATATTCTGTTTTCCAAAATATGGTTTAAATAAAACTATAGAAACACAACCAGAATATAAAGTTAAACATACTCTTGTTATTTTTCAAACAAATTCATATTATTTTTGGTATGATTGGCAGTTTATTATTTGATATTGTAATGAGTTTGTTGGTAGGTTATCTTTATGTACTCTACCCTGCAAGTCTTCAGAAGATTGTGTTTTTGTCACAGTTAAAAAGTGTAATAGTTTTATGCAGCTGCAGATTAAAAGCACCTTTAATTTTCTTGATACTGTGCCTTTAAAAAATAATCAGATGACTGCAATAAATCATATCCTCTAAAAAGATTTTATTGAGCATTTTGTTTTACCATAATTTTTTTCCTAATCAAGAGCCACTAGAAATCTAGATACCAAGCCCAGGAGTAAATTGATTTTTATTTTTTTTTAAATCAGATATCACAAGTTAGAGAACATTCAATACAAAGTGTATTTAAAGTAATTGTTACACTAGTCACAAAACATTGCTAAAGGATTTTTCTGAAGAATGACTTTTAATATTTTAACAAAGCACTTGGTATCCATCAAAATAGAGCAAAACTAAATCTGATTTAAAAATCAGATTTAAAAAAATTATCAGATTTCTTTATTTTCCTTTCTGGTATTTGCTTTAAATATTACTTTTCTTAAATAAATTTTAAAGATATTTTTCTTCAAATTTGCTTTTATCTAAAAAGTTGCTTTGACAAACTATTACTACACTGCAAATAAAAAGGGTTTTCCCTAGAGCAGGGGTGGGGAACCTTTTTTCTGCCAAGGGGCCATTTGGATATTTATAACATCATTCGAGGGCCATACAAAATTATCAACTTACAAATTAGCTATGAATAAAGCTCCTAGCTTTATTGAATTTCAAGTCCAGCCTGCAGTTGCCTTGCCAAGGCCAGACCAAATGATTTCGAGGGGGAGTAGGAGGAGAGTGGTGCATCGCCTGCGCAAGGGTTGGATGTTCCCCACCCCTGCCCCAGAGCCAAAGACAGGATTTACGAGTATAGAATTCTCAGAGGCTTTCCTAGAAGATTGAGGTTGCTGCTGACTTGACAGTTTGTCTGGAGTAGCCCTCCATATCCCTTAATCAGAATTAAAGTGATTAGTATCATTCAAGCAGTAATGAATCTAGGCTAATACAGTTAATAAGAGAAAACTATATGAACCTCATGGCTGTTTTTAGGAACCTTACTAGAATTGTAATATCTACTAAATTCTACTAATTTATAGTGACCCTGAAAACATTTTATGTGTATGTGTACAAGACATAAGTTTAAGAAAAAAAATCAGACTGTTTTAAAGTAACATCTCATTCAATTTTATAGTTCTTTTCTAAGGGTTTTTTTTTTAACATACTGATTTGTTTTAAGGAAAAATGTAATGAAATAGGTAAGCCTGGACTGTATGTATAGTGCATGGTTATGCATTATGATCAAACACAAAGGGTTACAATAATGATTACATGGGAAATTAATAAAGCACTCGTCCTTGGCACTGAGTAAGCTCTAAGTTACTGGGGGAGCTGTTTCTCCCATCACCAAGACACTGCTACTTCTATTACTATTATTATAATAAGCACATTGGCTTTTAGATCCAATATTTAGTTCTAAATATCTTTTATTTTATTTTATTTTACTTCTTAAATTTATCTTTATTGTTGAGAGTATTACAGGTATCCCATTTTTCCCCCCAGTTGATCCCCTACACTTCGCTCCCACCCCCTTCCCAGGCCTTCACCCCGTTATTAACTGTGTCCATGGGTTATGCATATAACTTCTTTGGTTAATCTCTTCCCACCCTCCACCCCCCTTCCCTCTTTCCTCTGAAATATGATCGTCTGTTGCATGCGTCAATGTCTCTGGATCTATTTAGTTCATCAGATTCTTTTGTTCATTAGCTTCTTAAAGAAGACCCTTCAACTTTTCCTGTATTGCTGGTCTGGTGGTGATGAACTCCTTTAGCTTTTCCTTGTCTGAGAAGCTCTTTATCTGACCTTCAATTCTAAATGATAGCTTTGCTGGGTAGAGCAATCTTGGTTGTAGTTCCATGTTTTTCATCACTTTGAATATTTCTTGCCACTCCCTTCTGGCCTGCAAGGTTTCTGTTGAGAAATCAGCTGACAGTCGTATGGGGGCTCCCTTGTAGGTAACTAACTGCTTTTCTCTTGCTGCTTTTAAGATTCTCTCTTTGTCTTTAACCTTTGGCATTTTAATTATGATGTGTCTTGCTGTGGGCCTCTTTGGGTTCCTCTTCTTTGGGACCCTCTGTGCTTCCTGGACTTGAAAGTCTATTTCTTTCCCCAGGTAGGGGAAGTTTTCTGTAATTATTTTTTCAAATAGGTTTTCAATTCCTTGGTCTCTTTCTGCCTCTTCTGGCACCCCAATAATACGAATGTTGGGCCTCTTGAAGTTGTCCCAGAGGCTCCTTTACTATTTTCATATTTCTGGATTCTTTTTTCTTTTTGCTCTTCTGGTTGGGTGTTTTTTGTTTCCTCATGTTCCAAATTGCTGATTTGATTCTCAGTGTCCTCTACTCTACTGTTGATTCCCTGTAAATTATTCTTCATTTCAGTT